GATCAGTGGATGGTGGTTTGCAAAAGTTCCCTGCTTGAATATACAGTGCCATTGCAGAAAAAAAATTCTTTTACCTATGACAGATACTTTTGGCAAATGCAAAGGAAGGAAGGATTGTTCTCCATCTTTAGTAGATCGTGAAGCTGAGACCTCTGCTTGTGAATTTTCAAGGCAGTTGTGTGGTGCATGACAAGAGAAACTGTCTTCAATATATATGTCAGGATTCCAGCAGTTACTCCCATTTAAATCATGAGTCTCGAGCCAAACTTCTAAAACTCAAAAAGGATTTATTGGGAGTTAACATGTCCAGCATTGCCTGGGTGTAGCTGACTCTGAGACACATCATTCATTGTCACCCTTGACCCTGGTTTTCCCCCACCCCCTGGGCAGCATGATTCATATTCTCCAATGGGACACTCCATAGCCCAGAGTCATCAATCAGGCTCTCCAGGTAGAATTTTCCATGGCAGAAACTTCAGTCACCTAGTTACAATCTCTGAAAACATTTATGGAATGCAGTTTCAGTTTCCAAGCTGCCACACTGCTCCCCACCTCACTTTCTGTTGGCAACTCTAAAAAGACCAGAGGAATATTTTATGAGTTGACAATATATTTTTTTGCACCCCATTTAACCCGGGGTGGAGTTGAGGCAACGGAGTGGAGCTGAGCATTTACTGGCTGGGTGCCTTTCCTAATGCCTATACAGAGTTCACAGCAGATATTTTCTCTTTGCTCCCTGATAGAGCAACATATCTTTTTGAAGGAGTGCTATATGCCAGTAAAACACTTCAGGTAGTCCTTGACTTCCAAACCTTTGTTTAGCGACCATTCGAACTTACAATGGCATGAAAAAAAGGGACTTATGACCGTTTTTTACCCTTGCAAACGTTGCAGAGTCCCCTGCAGTCACCTGAGCATAATTCAGATTTACTTAACAACTGTGTTACTAACTTATCGACTGCAGAAAGGCCATAAAATGGGGAAAAACCCAATTAGCCATTGTCTAACAACTGAAATTTGTGGCTCAATTGTGATCGTTAATTTGAGGAGGAATTCTATAGTAATTCTCTATTATTCCTTCTGCGTTATGGCACTGCCACCTAGTGGTGAAGGCTTTAAAAATAGCTACTGTACTCCCCCCCCCCTTTGCGAGTTGTGTAAAACCAGCGCATTTTTTCCCCCAGATTTCCTCCGAGATGTGTTTTAATCTCTTGATTTTAAATAATAATCTTCAGATTTTCATTTGCCTTGCCCTCACCCCCACCTAGTATGTGGGAACAAAACTTTTGACAGCTCTTTTAGCTCTTTTGATTAGAATTAAAATTCTTTTATTGGCCAAGGGTGATTGGACACACAAGGAATTTGTCTTTGGTGCAAATGCTCTCAGTGTACATAAAAGAAAAGATACATTCGTCAAGAATCATCAGGTACAAGACTTAATAAAGTTATAGGGTACAATAAGCAATCAAATCATACTAGGAAACAGTCACTATAAACTGTAAGGATGCAAGTGACAAAGTTACAGTCATACAGTCACAAGTGGGAGGGGATGGGTGATGAGGAGTGATGAGAAGATTAATAGTGCTGGTAGTGCAGACTTAGTAAATAGTTGGACAGTGTTGAGGGAATTATTTCTTTAGCAGAGTGATGGCATTTGGGGAAAAAACTGTCCTTGTGTCTAGTTGTTCTGGTGTGCAGGGCTCTATAGCATCATTTTGAGGGTAGGAATTGAAACAGTTTGTGTCCAGGATGTTAATCCAGTTGGTTTAATTGGTTATTTGGTTATTTGTTTTGTTAGATTCTCAATCCATCAATCAACCTCCATCAGCAGACCATTTTGACGGAACCACTCTCGTCATAAATAGTAGATGCAAACAAATAAACCCTTAAGGAGGAAGCAGTTTGAGAGCAACAATGCTTCATTTGCTATCAGTGATGCAAATCTAGATGGTTTAAAGTATTGCATAGCTGGTTTTCCAAACCAGATCAGAAACTGGATTTAATCAGCGATTGACCTCGTTTGCTTTTTTTAAAAAAAACATTCTCTAAACTGTTCATCTATATGGTGTGACATTTTTTTCTTCTTTTTGTTGGGGAATTCAGAAAAATTTAGCTTCTGAGTAGCCGGTTTCTCCAGAGGGGAGAAGAAATTCTGAAGTAATGATGGAAACCTCCTTGTCTAAACATTTATATCCTGCAAAAAAATAAAAATAAATCTTAGCTCCAGTGTAGGGACACCTGATGTTTTATCAATCCCTTAATTTGTGATCTAATTTGCAAAATGTCTTTCTTCATTTGCCTTCTCTGTTGTATTGACTGCTTCTCTCTCTCTCTCTCTCCCAGTTCAATGATAAAGCTCAAAACGTCAGTTGTTTCAATCATCTCGTACAAGCTAATGTAAGGAACAAGAAGAAGTTGAAGGAAGCCGTCTACAAAATCCAAGCGAAAGGAATCACTGATTACAAAAAAGGATTCAGTTACGCCTTTGAGCAACTGCTCAATGTAAGGGCTGGGAAGCAACACTTGTGAGCTTTTTCAACTGGGGCTCATCATTTGTGTACTGTACAAACGCTAAAAAAAATTTGTCTTTTTAAACCGGAGGTGGTATTATAACGTCATTCCCCCCCACCCCCAACACCTGGGTTAAGCTGTGGTGCTAAGTTGCTATGTGTTTATAACATGGTTTATGCAATAAACAAAATAAAAATGGCTGGGTTAGGGTATGGGTTAAGCCTAGGATAAGAAAGAAAGAGAAGGAGGGAGGAAGGGAGGGAGGAAGAAAGAGGGAAGAAGGAAGGTAAGGAGGAGGGTGGGAAGACGGAAGGAGGAAGGAAAGGAAGAAAGAGAGAGAGAAAAGAGAAA